ATGTTACAAGGTTACAACCAAGATTAAGGCCTGATATGCCATAAAGGTCCAGTTTTCTTTTTGAAAATAGCATAGTTCTGACAGATGGGCAATATGACACTAGGTGACAACTATTTGTGTTGAAGGTTTATTTGATCAAGCAAAACTTTCTTTTTTGTGAAATATTAATCTACTTAATCAATAAAAACCAGGAGTCAGATATTGGGGTAAAGACATGGAAGATCAGGGAACTGGAAGCAGCTGCCAGTTGCTCCCTCCCTCAAACATTCCTCAGTCCAAAGGGGCCCCAGATCTTTTCTCCATCCACTTTATATTCCTGTCTCCACCGTCTGAATGCTGAGATTAAAGGTATGTGCCACCACTGCCTGGCCTCTATGGTTAACTAGTTGCTACCTCCACCCTCTGATCTCCAGGCAAGTTTTATTTGTCAGAAACACAAACAAAATATCACACAACATTTCCCCCTTTTAGTCTAAATGAAAAGTAAAGGTTTTAACTAATATAGAAAAACTTTATACAATAAGTACAATAACTATATACAAATATATACAGGTAATAAATAATTAACAATGTCTAATCCATTAGCATTTGACAAATACAGATAAAATACTCCATTATCTCTCCTTTCTTGGTGAGTCCAAAGTGTTGTACCTAATTTACTGTCTATCCCAATTTGCATTACCAACCCTGAACCATCTTTTTATGTCTCTCACCCTTATACTCTTTACTCCTCTTTAGTGAGTTTCTTTTCTGAGTCTGGTAACATGGAAAACTGTAGCATGAATAGCTATACAGTCTTACTAATAAAAAACCTGGAGCCAGATATTGGGGTAAAAGCTGAAAGGTCAGAGAGGCAGAGTAGTAAGCTACTAGTTCTTACCCCGATAAAATCCTCCAAAAGATCACAAGTTCCTGTTTCCTCATACCTTATATACCTTTCTGTGTCTTGGCATATTACTTCCTGGGATTAAAGTTGTGTGTCTTTCCTAAGCAAAGATATGAGATCTCAAGTGCTGGGATTAAATGTGTGTGCCACCACACCTGGCTCTGTTCCTAGTTGTGACCTTGAACTCAGATTCAGATGGATCTTTGTCTTCCAAATGCTAGGATTTAAGGTGTGTGCTACCACTGCCTCATCTCTATGTTTAATATAGTGGCTGGTTTTGTCCTCTGATCCCAAACAAGCTTTATTGGGGTACACGATATATCACCACAGAAAACTATAACTATCTAGTCTTCAACTCCGTCAGAGACCTGAGAAGAATATAATATTACCTGAGTAAATAAAAATGCAGAGCAAAAGGTTTCCAAAAACAAGAAATGACAGATACATTACCTGGAGAGTCACCTAGGGTTCCTCTGCAATGTTGGAGCATCTATTTTCATCCTGCTGGCCTAGAATATCTGACAGACATTTCCGTGAAGCAGGAGTTTTGAAACACTGTCCTGCCTTGTCTTGGCAAGGTTCGACAGTCAGTTTCTTTGTGTCCTGCTTGTATAATTTGGACTGAGGCAAGGGCACTTTCACCCAGTAGCTAACTTTTGCCACAAAGACAGTAAATTACATATGGAGTTTCTTCAACTGCCCATCTTTTTCTTTGAAGTAGATTGGTGCTGCCAGGAGTAGACATGTCTCATTGTCATTAAAAAAATATGTTATTAAAACATCTTAAATACAGATACAAATACAAAAAATACAAAAAATTCTGTAGATCTCTGAAGTGTTTGTAGACCACTTGCCTATCTAAAATAGATCTGTTTGGCCTTGAAAACATAACCTAACATGACTACAAGTTTGATTGTAATATGTGACTGTAACCTGCATTTCTTTATTCTAAATAGTTTGGGATAATAACTTTTAAGGACTAGAAATTTATATTACATTGTTAGGTGAGCTGTATAGGTACAATACCTTGAATAAAAGTAGATACATATGTACAGTATGTTCTAACAAAAATATCAATATACAAAAATCCATATCAATGTAAAATATTTAACTAGTAGTTGCTTTGTTAGTTTAAAAGTAGATTCAATAATCTACCTTTTTATCTTATCATTTTATGACATATATATATAGTATAACAAAAATAACATCAAATTTGTATCAATATACAAAAATCCAAGCCAATGTAAAAATATTTAAAACTAGTAGTTGCTTTTGTTTTGTTTTAAAAGTAGATTCAATAATCTACCCTTTTATCCTATTCTGTATCCCATTTTTTTCTTTTTAGAATGAGATCCCCAAGTCTGATGTCCATTGTTTAGCTTTTTTCCTGATCATTACCAATTACAACTTAAAACCAACCCCCTCTAAAAAAAATGACAAATATCCATAACCCATTAAAATGACTGAAAACCATCCACTCCACCTCTTGGGAATATGTGTGTTGTGTTTTTAAAATTACTTCCTGCTGTTTGGGAGCTACAACATCTTTAGGGAACCATCAAGAAATTGAGATAATTGTCAAGTCCTGGGAGAGCTAGCTATATCATTTGTTGTCCAGTCTTCGTATAAAGGGAAAGTGTACAGCTTGTCTCAAGTCCTGGCTATGAGGATGGATCATCTCAACTAGCCATCTTGAAATTGCCCTAAGCAGTTTGTAGTCCAATGCTGATCTTTAGGTGGTGTTGGTCATCTTAGTCACATTACCATACTCCAGGTGGAATCATCATTGTAGGGCCCCATTCTACTTTTGGAGACGTCAAAGTTAACTGTTAGGCATGGTCACTGTTCACTGCAGAAAACTTAAACATTTTAAATGTCATATGTAGCAGATTTCAAAAAAATTAAAGGACCACAATTTGATATATATATATATATATATATATATATATATATATATATATATATATATATATATATATATCCAGAGCATAAAAACTTAATTCTGAGTTATCTGATAGAGACTCAAACCCAAAATCATGTACAGGAAGCCAGATGAAGCCTTTCTCCAGAATTAGTACTCTATAGGACCATTAATATCATGACAAAAAGTTTAATATATATGTATAAATCTGATAAATTTTGATATAATACTCATACCTGAAGAAAAGTTTTAAAGTGCCAAAATAAAGCCAAAGGATAATGAGATTAGTAGCAATAGAATAGTCCTGTAATTTTGGTTTTTTTTCTTTCCCATATCAGATGGCTCTTCTGACATAAGACAGAGATTTTGAATTTTTCTTTTTACAAGCATGCTTGGATTTATAAGGAGAGAGCCATCTTTAATTTTTAATTTAACTGGACTACAAAAAGATCATTTGTATTACATGTCTGTAGAGAACAGCAGAAACAAACATTTGGGAAGATTTATGAAATTTAGTCCTGTTGGAAATGTGATATATCAATAGGCCAATTTACTCTCCAACTTTGGGGAGTTTCTCTCTTGACAAGTTAAATCTGATTAAATGAAAAGCATTTGTTAGTTTAGAAAGTTAGTTTAGATTGAGTGGCCATGCTGTTTAATGAACTGTCCCCTCTTCTAACCAAGAGGTCTCTGTTGTTCGAATCTAATCTTTATAATATTTGCTTTATGGTTTTTCCTGAAATTTTTGTTTTATTTTCTAAAGCTGTTCTATCATCCAGAGCAGTATGATTTTTTTTTACAATAGGCATTAGGTCCTTTAATTGCTCTGGGGAGGAGTTTCCCTACAGTGACAGGGAATGACTGAACCAAATTTGACATGGGGGCCTGCAAGAGGCCTCCAAGGCATTTCCTGATGGCAAAGGGTTACTCTTTCCTTTATTGATCTGCATTCATTCTTCCAATGTAGGCCTTTGTTGAACTTTCTACATACTCCAGAAGTGAGGGGCCTTCTGTTTGGATTATTCCTAGAAAAAACATTGTTTCTAGGAATGCCCTGCCTACAATCCCCTTTTAGATGATCTCATTTGCCACAATTAAAACACCTGACATTTTTATTTTTCTTCAAGCCTCTGGAAATTACCTCTGCTATTAAAGCTTCATCATAGTTATGAGGTTCAATATTGACTGTATCTCAGATCCATTCCTCAGTGGATGCTGATCTTGCCTTTAAAGGCCTAATTACCCTTTTGTATTGCGAATTAGCATATTCAAAAGCCAAAGATTCAATTAATATTTGTCTAGCTTCTAAATTTGACATCATTCTTTTCCTCTAAAGTCCAGTTCAGATTTTGCATTCTGTGTTCTTGTGATTCTCCTCATATCTGACCCACCTACCAATTGCATAGAAATTAAAATGCTTTTTCCTCAGTTTGCAATGTAGGTACCATGTACAAACACACAGAAATTCTACTAATGCTGACTTATCTTGCCTGGGTAAGCTAAAATGTGAACACAGTGCATTATAAACATTTAGAAGGGAAATAATCATATCAACCTACCTTAGATGGACTTACATTCAGAAACTAGTCTTATATGTCTATTGCCAGTATAAGGTAGGGTAATTGTTCTTTGTTATCTTCACTTTAACTTAAAGGCATGCTTTCAATTGAATATTACATTCTGAATCCATTACTAAATATATCTCTAGAAGTGTTGGTAAAGGACAGGTGAACAAAGAGCTTTATGAATGGCACTCAAGAGCAAAAGAATGCTATCATTTTAAATTAAGAAGTCATGTTGTAATCAGTTATTTATAAAAGGATTTGAACCAACATTTTCATTCGAATGGCTGTGTTTGCTGTAATACTGAACTCTCGAGACCTGCAGTAGCCTTTGCAGGTTCTTACCTTTAAGTTCAAGTTTTTAAATACGTTTTTAATAAGTTTTTCTAGGGTCTGTATCTTGGCACTCATATCAACCAACTTTTTAAAGGATAAAACAAGCATTATCAAACTGATAATAAGAATTATCAAAATAATAATTAACATTATGTCAATCCCAGTTAAGTTGATTATCCCTTCATTTAATTGTTCCATTTTTAAACCATCCACCTAGTTCTTTCCATCATAATAATATTTCCCATTTTCTAACATGGGAAAAATCTTTTTTTTTAAACTAATTTTCTCCTTTTAGAATTTCCAATTGTCTCACCAAATCTGCTGCTGCTGCTGCTGCTGCTGCTGCTGTTGAAAATGACAGTGAAGTGTGAGGGATTATGGAGAAGAAGCTTGTGTTTTAGAAGCAGCCTGAAGGCAGAGCTGGGCCGGTGGTGCAGGGTTTACTGTGGTGACATTTGGAGCCCATGCGCCTGTGGAGTTTGCTGCAGAAAGGCTGCAATATAAAAATCCCAGACTTGCTCAGAGGGCTTGGGGAAGAAAAAAGAAAGGAAAAGCTTAGCCGAAGAGTTGGTGACTGCAGCAGAAGTCCCCGTGTGCAGTTCTGGCATGCGAAGGTGGATACAAAGCTACAGGCAAGTGGCTTTTCTTGTGAATTTGTGTCCCAAAAGTTAGATGCCAGATGAAGCATTAGTCTGCTTAATCTTTATCAATAAAACCAGTAGTCAGATATGGGGTGAAAACATGGAAGATTTGGGAACTGGGAGCAACTGCCAGTTGCTTCCTTCCTCTCTGATTCTTCAGTCCAAAAAGAGACCCAGATCCTGTCTCCATCCAACTTATTATCCTGTTTCTACCTCCCAAGTGCTGGGATTAAAGGTGTGTGCCTACCAAGTGCTGGGATCAATGAATGGTATGCACCACCACTGCCTGGCCTCTATGGTTAACTAGTGGCTAACTTTACCCTCTGATCTTCAGACAAGTTTTATTTGTCAAACACCAAGTATCACAACATTTTAGGCCCCCATACAGGGAAAGGGAACATGTTTGGAAGAGCCAGTAACAGCCTGGGGCTTAGGCCTTAGGAGCTTTTTGTAAGGGCCTTAGGTATAGAGAAAAAACAGTCAACAAAAAACTAAGCCTCTAAAACTAAGAATATGCTTGAGAGAACTGGTAATGGTCTGTAACAGGAATTACTAAACAGTCTTATTAATAAAAAACCTGGAGCTATATTGGGGTAAAAGCTGAAAGATCAGAGAGGCAGAGCAGCAAGCTACCCTTCGAAATCTTTCCCCAAATGGTCATGAGTTCCTGTTTCCTCATGCCTTATATACCTTTTTGTGTCCTGCCATATTACTTCCTGGTATTAAAGGCGTGTGTGTTTCCCAATACTGGGATTGAAGGTGTGTGCTACCACTACCTGGCTCTGTTTCCAGTGTGGCTTTAAACTCACAGAGATCCAGATAGATTTCTACCTCCCAAGTGATAAGATTAAGGGTGTGTGCTACCACTGTCTGGCCTCTGTGTCTTATCTAGTGGCTGGCTCTGTCCTCTGATCCCTAGATAAGTTTTATTGGGGTACACAATATATAACCACAATGGTCTTGGGCCAGGGACTTTGAGGAGGGATTCTTTCAGATCCTGAGAACCCACCCCTTCCTACTACATGGAGCTATGGTTATCATTCCCAAGGCCACTGTGGGCTTAATCAATAATATTCTTGAGTTACGCTATATTCCTCTTTTGTTTCAATGTTTGATTAGCCTCCTTCTGAATTTATCCTACTGTATTTGCTAACTTCATAGATATCTCCAGTTTGCTTACATTTCTCCCATGGAAGTAGTGTTCAAGGTGCTATTCTTCTTATGAAGTTTACTTCGCATAAGACATAACTTCTGCAAAACCCCCACATCTAGCTTTTAGCTTTTATACCTTCTGTTTTTCTTGTCTTTCTCATTCCCTGGTACTTGTTCTTTAGGACCTTGTCACTGAAGAATGACCTGCTGTTTCAGGACACTGGTGTACTTAAGAACCAATTCTGGGGGCTGGAGAGATGGTTCAGAGGTTAAGAGCATTGGCTGCTCTTCTAGAGATCCTGAGTTCAATTTCCAGCAACCACATGGTGGCTCACAGCCATCTATAATAAGATCTGGTGCCTTCTTATGGTATGCAGACATATGTGCAGGCAAAACACTGTATACATAATAAATAAATCTTAAAAAGGAAAAAAAAAGGAACAATTCTGGTAATATCTTTGCTGTGTAAGTCTCCCATCTGCCTAAGTGAGTAGACTTGCAGTCTATTTGAGTTGTTTAAAGTGTAACCTGGAGCCTGAACATAAGAGACACTTAAGGATAAGAGCATATGTATATGGAGTATTACTCAACTGTTAAAAAAAATGACATCATGAAATTTACAGGCAATAGTTGGAAATAGAGAAAAAACATGCCTGAGAGAGAAAATTCTGATCCAGAAAAAGAAACATGATATTTGCTCACTAATAAGTGGATATTAGCTTTAAGTAAAGGATAATCACATGGCAATCCACAGGCTGAGAGACTAAGTAATATGGAGGGCTCTAGGAGGACACATAAACAAGATGTTTTTCATCATCATCTGACATAGGTCTTTTTGACCTGGGAAAGATGTAATTGAATGAATAAAAACCTCCCATATATGAAGATATATATATGAACCCTTGTCTCTCATTCATGGCTTTCTTTGTGGTTCTTATGGAATCTTTAGTAGGAGGAGCTTTTCTGGGTGACATTCCTCATTGGGGATGTGGTTTGAGTATGCATAGTGTTACCCTATCTTCTTTTCCTGTGTCTACTTTCTTGTGATTGAAATTTATTAGCCAGCTTCCTTCTCATGCTGTCATGGATAAGCCACCATTATAGACTTATTCCTAAATAACATAATGTACAGTAGAAGCTATTGTTTTTCATTACTAAGCTACTTTGAAAACCAGTTTTTATTCATTTCTTTATTTTGTTGTTTTGTTTTTATTTTTGTTTTTGAAAACAAGTTTTCTTTGTATAGCAGTCTGTCCTGAAAATAGTTCTTGAGACCAAGCTGGCCTCAAACAGAGATCTGGCTATCTCTGCCTTTTAGTGCTGATATTAAGTATGGGCCAACATGCCCATTATTGGCTGGTGGACCCAGAATGTAGGTTTTCATACATGCCAAGCATTTACTGTTGTGCTGAGCTTTACCAACATCTTGAATTTTAAACTTTAGCAGAGGTAACTTTTCTCCTTGGATGGCCTATATTCACAAATATTAAAAGTTCTTATTAATAAAAACAAACCTGGAGCCAGGTATTGGGGTGAATGCTGGAAGATCAGAGAAGCAGAACAAGTCACAGCTAACCTCATCTTACCAACTTGTCAGCTGATCCTGTTTCCTCAGACTGGAGTTCTCTGAGTCCTCATCCAAATGGATCTCAGCTGAATTGCTACTCACAGCCTTAAAGCTTAACCAGCCTAGTTTCTGCTCCTCACACCTTATATACCTTTGTGCTCCCTACCATCACATCCTAGGATTAAAGGCATGAGTCACCATGCCTGGCTCTTTCCAGTGTGGCTTTGAACTCACAGAGATGCGGATGGATCTCTGCTTCCTAAGTGATAGGATTAAAGGCTTGTGTGCCACCATTTTCTGGCCTCTATGTCTATCTAGTAGCTGTTCTGTCCTCTGACCCCAGATAAGTTTATTAGGATGCACAATATACTGGGGGACACAATATATCACCACATGGAGGGTCATGTGTCTTTACATTGCAGGAGTGACATTCTTCCTACTTGTGTATGTTTTGAAATTTTTTATAAATATGAGTATTTTGCCTGTATGCAAGGATATGCACCCTATGTGTGTCTGGTGCTCCTAGTAGGCAGAAGTTGGTCTCAGAACCCCTGAAATTGGAGTTATGGATAGTTGTGAGCTATGTAAGTACTTCCAATTGAACCTATCTCCTCTACAAGATCAGAAAGTACTGGTAACTTCTGAGTCATCTCTCCAACCATGTTTTTTTTTTTTAAACTTACATTACAATGCTTATATTTTCATCTGTGCATCTCTAATGGGTTAAACATGTATTCCCTTTTAAGAAGCTCTTATTAATATTGCAGTTTTAACTGTGATACTTCAAGTTTCTGGGAGATGAATACAGAGCCAGAATGAATGCATCTCTCTTTGTAGGAACATCAGTGAAATCTTTTTTGTTTCTTTGGTTGATTAGGGTTTTTTTTTTTTTTTTTTTTGGTTGGGCAGAGTCCACAAATGTACCACTGGCTATCTTGAACTCATTCCATAGACCAGGCTGGTCTCCAGCTGAATGAGATTCACCTGCCTTTGCCTCCTGTGTGCTCAGGTTAAAGGCAGGGGCTTTGCCCATATTTCTTTGTAGTTAGTAATTGTTAATACATTTTCTATGACATATACTTAGTACTCTTGATTTGTTTGTCTCTGTATGTCTGTTAATAGTCTTTTCTCTTGGAAGGGTAAATCCTATTCAAAGGGCCAAGAAATGTCATGTGTGAACCTCCTTTTCAATTTCTTTCTAAACCGACTTGAGGATTATGTTATAACTTCTCTGTCATGGAATAAGTGTGGCAAGCACCAAAATTATACAAATATATTGTGAAAGAAATATACATTTACACTGTAATCAATATCACTCTTTCTGTTTTACACATGTATGGAATAATTTAGAATGCAGTGACCTATGATGATGTGCATGTCGACTTTACTTGGGACGAGTGGGCTTTGCTGGACCCTTCCCAGAAGAATCTCTACAAAAATGTGATGCTGGAGACCTACAGGAACCTCACTGCTATAGGTAAGACTGTGAATTTTTGTTCAATTTTTATAATAAGGGGACAACTGTTTGATGCTCTTCTGTAATTTGGATTGATAAAGGGGAAGACTTGGTAAATAAGTCAGGCATGGTTTTTAGGTTTACTGGATATAGTAACTTAAATTTTGCATAATTTCCAATAATATATCATCCATTTTCTGTTACCATATTTTAGGCTACAAATGGGAAGAACATAATATTAATGAAAAATTTCAAAGATCTAGAAGAAACAGAAGGTAATTTTCATGTGCAAGCTAATATAAATATCCCACAGAAGAATTTTTTCCTTTTTTTAATTATTAAAAAATTTTCTGTTCATTTTACATACCAACCTTAAATGCCCCTCTCCTCCCTCCTCCTGCCCCCTAGCATCCCCCAACACCCGCCCCCATTCCCACCTCCTCCATGGCAGGGTCACCCATGGGAAGTCAGCAGAGCCTGGTACATCAGTTGAGGCAGGTTCAAGCCACTCCCCCTGCACCAAGGCTGTGTAAGGTGTCCCACCATAGGCACTGAGCTCCAAAAAGCCTACTCTTGTACCAGGGCTCCAGGGATGGATGCTGATCCCACTGACAGGGACCCCTTTAGCAGGTCAAGCTAAAGACTGTCTCGCCTTTGCAGAGGGCCTAGTACAGTCCCATGGAGGCTCTATAGCTACTGGTTCACAGTTCATGAGTTCCCACTAGTTTAGTTTGGTTATCTCTGTACATTTCCCCATCATGATCTTGATGCCCTTTGCTCATATAATCACTCTTCTCTCTCTTCAACTGGACTCCTGGAGCTCGGCCTAGTGCTTGCTATGGAACTCTGCATCTGCTTCCATCAGTTACTGGATGAAGGCTCTATGATGACAGGGTATTCACCAATCTGATTACCAGAGTAGGCACCCGCTTAGTAGTTCTAAGGTGGGGTCATACTTGTAGATTCCTGTGAAATTCCCTAGCACCCTGTTGCTCCCTATTCCCATGATATCTTCCTCTATCATGGTATCTCTTTCCTTGCTCTCCCACTCTGTCCCTGTTCAGGTTGACTATCCCATTCCCTTATGTTCTCAACCCCCATCACCTTCCCTCCATTGCCCTCCACACTCCCACATTGCTCATGAAGATCTCATCTATTTCCCCTTCCCAAGGTGATCCATGTGTCCCTCTTTTTTTTTTTTTTTTGGTTTTTCGAGACAGGGTTTCTCTGTGTAGCTTTGCGCCTTTCCTGGAACTCACTTGGTAGCCCAGGCTGGCCTCGAACTCACAGAGATCCGCCTGGCTCTGCCTCCCGAGTGCTGGGATTAAAGGCGTGCGCCACCACCGCCCGGCCCATGTGTCCCTCTTAAGGTTCTCCTTGATAGCTAGCTTCTCTGGAGCTGTGAGTTGTAGTATGATTATCCTTTGCTTTGTATCTAGTATCCACTTATGAATACCAAGACAGGGTTTCTTTGTGTAACAGTCCTGGCTCTCCTGGAACTCTCTTTGTAGACCAGGCTGGCCTTGAACTCACAGAAGAATTTGAATGGTCCTACAAGTTTTAAGGAAAAGCAGCAGTGTAAATAATCAAAGCTTTACGTGTATTGATGATTGCTAAATTCTCACAACGCCATGTACCTCAATATCAAGCAGCTGATCTGTGTTTTCAAAGCATTCCTTTAAGAAAGAAGACAATGAAACAATTCTGTAACAGATAGCACCATTTTAATCATAGCTTCATGAGAGCTAGGGTGTAGAACTGTCACTCCATTTAGTTTCATATAGCAAAAGGTATAACTGTTGATTGGATGATAAGCATATGTCCAAAATATTCTAATAAGGAAGTACTCTATGGTAACGCTAGTGTTACTAATATACTTGTTGTGAGTTACCAAAGTTTACTGAGAGGGCCAGTTTATTAGAATTAAGAAGGTTGTTGTGGAGAAACTTGAATACTTATACCATATATCTATGAGGAAAAAATATAAGTTGTGTGACTATAATATGGAAACTTTATATTTGTTATTCTTTCTTTAATGAAATATCATATGTCACTCAGGAAATAGGGCAAGTGCACATATATGATAGGAAAGAAGCAATGTACCTCTCTTTTTCCCAGAACAATGAGAAGATTTGTAGTAGTCTCCACTTTGAGTGGCCTTTCTGAATGTGACATAAGTTTACAATTAATTGTTTTTCAAACCTCACTGGAAATACATCAGCAAACTCTACCACAGGAAAACCCTTTAAGTATGACATGTGTAAATTCTTTTGTTCATCCTAGTTCACTTTGCAAATATAGTTTGACTCACAGTATAGGAAAATATTTTTTTTTAAGATTTATTTATTATATGTACATCATTCTGTCTGCATGTGTCCTTGCAGGCCAGAAGAGGGCACCAGATCTCATTACAGGTGATTTTGAGCCACCATGTGGTTGCTGGGAATTAAACTCAGGACCTCTGGAAGAGCAATCAGTGCTCTAAACCACTGAGCCATTACTCCAGCCCAGGAAAATATTTTGAATGTAGTCAGTATGGTAAAGCTTTGAGTTCTTCCAATTCTTTTCATTTATATGAAAAAACACATATGGAAAAGGGTGTTATGAAAGTGAGTCATGTACTTAAGACCCTAACCATCATGGGTATCTTCAAACAACCAAAAGAACCCATAATAAGAGGAACCCAAGTGGTAAAACCTTATTATCTGACTCCTCTTTGCTATTAGACCAAACTGTAAAATTACATCATACAGATAAAAATCTTCATCAGAGTAATGTGTTTGTTAAAGCATTTACATGTGCCAATTGTCTTCACAGGCATGAAAGAAGTCATACTGGAGAGAAATCCTATGAATGCAATCAATGTGGTAAAGCCTTCTCACAGCAGAGCAATCTCCAAATACACAGAAGAATTCATACTCAAGAGAAACCCTATGAGTGTAATCATTGTGGGAAAGCCTTTGCCCGTTACACTCATCTTCAAAGCCATAAAAGAATTCATACTGGAGAGAAACCCTATGTATGTAATCAGTGTGGTAAAGCTTTTTCACAACAGAGTCATCTCCAAGTTCATACAACAATTCATACTGGAGTGAAACCCTATGAATGTAATCAGTGTGGGAAAGCTTTTGCATGTTACAGTTATCTTCAAAGTCATAAAATAATTCATACTGGAGAGAAACTCTATGAATGTAATCAGTGTGGGAAAGCTTTTGCACGTAACAGTAATCTTGAAAGGCATAAAATAACTCATACAGGAGTAAAACCATATGAATGTAATCAATGTGGGAAAGCCTTTTCTCGACAGAGTTATCTCCAAATACATAAAAGAACCCATACTGGAGAGAAACCCTATGAATGTAATCAATGTGGGAAGGCCTTTTCACGACAGAGTTATCTCCAAATACATAAAAGAACCCATACCGGAGAGAAACCCTATGGATGTAAGCAATGTGGTAAATCTTTTGCAGATTACACTTATATTAGAGTACATGAAAAAATTCACACTGGAGTGAAACTATATGAATGTAATCAGTGTGGGAAAGCCTTTTCACAACAGGGTTATCTCCAAGTTCATAAAAGAATTCACACTGGCGAGAAACCCTATGAATGTAATCAATGTGGAAAAACTTTTGCACGTCACAGAAATCTTCAAAGACATAAAAGAATTCATATTGGACAGAAGCCCTATGAATGTAATTAATGTGAGAAAACCTTTTCACAAGAGAATCATCTCCAAGTTCATAAAAAAACTCATCTGGGAGAGAAAACCAATGAATCTAAGCAACCTGGTAAAGCTTTTGCATGTCACAGTTACCTCAAAGGCATGAAAGAATTCATATTGGAGAGTAACCCTATGAGTGTAATCAGTGTCATAAAGTCTTTGCATTTCACCATAATCTTTGAAACCATGAAAGAGTTCATCAAGGAATAAAACCTGTAGCGTTTAATCAATCTGTTAAAGTCTTCATATATTAGAGCAGTTTTTGAGGACACAAAAGAACTAACACTGAAGGGGAATCTGTGAGTATAAAGGATTTGGTAAGATCTTTAGCCAACAAGCTTACATTTAGTTACTCAAGGTTATTTATTGAGATAAAATCTGACAAGTGTCAACAATCTGTTCAAGCATTAAAATCTCCTTTTTTATTTTGTTTTCACCTACTAACTCATGGATAAAAGCCCTGTGGATTTAATTAGTAAGACAACCTTTTAGATATCATACTTCTCTTCAATTAAATAAAAAAACTCAGCCAGGAGTAAAACATTATGGATGTATACTAGTCTTTTCCTGTGATAAAACACAATGTCTAAGGCAACTTAAAAAAAGAGCTTAATTTGGCTTATGGTTCCAAAGCAAAACAAGTTCATCAAGAGAGGCTTGGCAACAAGTGTCAGAAATAACAGCTAAAGCAGGAAGCTCAGAGCTTACATCCTCAACATGAAGCAGGGAGCAGAGAGTAGGAACTGGAAGTGGTGTGAGGATTTTAATATCTCAAAATCCATCACCAGTGACATATTTCCTAAACTTTTCCAAATGATACCAATAACTGAGAAGTATTGATTCTCTGACTTTTAAGCCTGCATGGTTGCTTTCTGTTATATGAACCAATTCATGATAAAGAAAAAATTCTGTAGGTAAGCCTTTAGATGCTTCAACATCTGGGTTACAGGCATGAATGTTTACACAAGAGAAATAGTCCTGAGTGGAAATGATTAATGATTCACTTTAATTTTTATTTTGTTATGTCAGTGTGTCTTTGGATAGATGCATGTGCTTGGTAGTTCCCAAGAAGGGTAGACCCTGTAGTCTTCTTGAATTTCTAGCTGAAATTACAGGAAGTTGTCAAAAACCTCACCTGGATTCTGAGCAGGAACTTTTCTTCACTGCTTGGCCCTGTCTTTATCCCTGTAAATATTTTAAAGCTTTTATATATCATGTGGACATTAGGAAATAGGGAAGAATTCACAGACGAGAGAAATCCTGGACATGTAAACAATATGGTAAAGCCTTTAGACATCAGAATTGTCTTCAGTTTCAAGAGAAAAAAATCTTGTTTCATCTCTTTGTTACAGAAGATGCCTTGAAGCAAATAAATTGTTTACTATGTTCACTAAACTCTGATGGTGGATGTCACAGTAATGTGGTTTGTATTTTGGAACTTTTGGAGTAGGTATTGAAATGTTCTGTATATGTGGCAAATTCACTTACTGAAGTTTATTTGGTGGTTCATATATTCCTTCTTTCACCTCTGTTCATCTTCTCTTGTGCTTTGACTTGATGATGGGTATTTTTCTGTTGAAATGTTTGAAATGCCTATCATCTAAGGGGTCCCTTGTTTATTTAAATATCTTGCAGTGTATGATCATAATTTTCAAGTAAAGATGTCTATGAAAGGGTGGTGGGTTTTTGTTCCTGATTTTGTTTTTCACACTTTCACAAATTCTCTTTAGATGTTTGTTATCTAGCCTGTTGTGGATGTCAGTAATTCATCAGCACTACATTTGAACTCATGATTCTCATGTGTCAGCCTCCTGAGTACAAGTCCAAGTGTAAAAGATATACCCCTAATATGTCCTGTTTTGGCAATGCATTTTAACAGTGTTAATGTTAATAGAAAAGAATAAGAAACACTGAATACCTCATGTGTGTACCCAAAGCGGCATTTTCATCTGTCTGGTAGAGATACAAGAAAGTAAAATAATCAGCAATCAACTGTATATCTCATAGCCTAACTTGATATGCTATGTATATGTATATATTTTTTACATTCCTGCCTCTTCATGATCTAGTTTTTCCATATGCCACTCCATCTTGAAGTATTGTCTCCTAAAGGAATTATCTAGAGATGTAAGACAAGACATTTGTTTTCTGAAATGCATTTCTGTTATGTGTGGGTGGGTATAATGTATAATATGGGTTTGAATGGGTGACAGATATGTTGGGACCAGAACAAAACTTTGTGGGGTTTCTTTTGGCCCTCTTCAAATGGTGATCAAGGTCAGGTTACCAGCCTTGCATACGAGAGTAATTTTTTCCTAATGAGGCATCTCACTAGTGCTCAAATAAGGTTAGTAGAAACAATACATCAGTGTTCCTATTCAAATTGTAAACATGTTGTCATCTAAGGATTGAGGAACACAGTATAATTTGAATAATGAATTCTACTTGCAAATAGATATATTTATATTGCCATCTTTTTTATTGTGTTAGTTTATTATGAGGACTAGACACTTGTTGATAACACTTTCTCAGAACCACAAATGAATGCCAGAGAATTGTCTCATTGTGTAAAGGCTTCTACTAAGTCTGACTAAACCTGAGGACCTGTGTTTACTCTGTGATACCCACACGATTCCTGCAAGTTTTTCTCTTATTTCTACACTTGGGCTCTTGCGTGTGCACAGCCAAACACTAGCACGGAGAAAAATAATTCTTGAACCCACATGAGGCCAGTGAGGTCACTTGTATCCAAACTGGACTACCTACGTTTGATTACTAGAATTCCCATAGACAGAATAGTAATTGACAACTGTAAGTTGTCTTGTAAGTTTTACATGCATACCATGGCACAAGTTTAAATTAACAAAATAACCAAAATATTGAGAACATATGAAATGGTTTACCAATTGAAATTAATGCATTTTCAAATTTTAAGATTTACTGTTCCTCAAAACCATGATGGTTCCTGTTTAAAGTTTACATTATCATTTCATTCTGATTCAAAGGTCAAAGAAGAGAAAGATCCATAACTCAAATTACAGACATTTTTAATATAGTCTAGCTAGACTGATCTCTACTAAACAAAACCTCATTGTCTGTACTCACATCAGGAGAAGTGTGTTAACCATGTCAATAAGAAGCAATGTGGAGAATTCACTCACAGAGGGCTAGATATCCATTGAATCCTTCAATGACCATGTAGCAGGGGCTTTCATTACTTTCAATTGATAGATAACAGAAGGAGTAATGGGGCATCTTCATCTTCTGCATTATAATGATATATTTGTAGGTGGAGAGTTGGCTCAGTAATACTGGTCATGTTAGATACCCAAGTTTGGTACCTAGCACCCACAGCAGCTGGTTCATACTATCTATAATTTCAGGTCCAGGAGATATGGTGTGCTCTGTTTGCCTCCTTGGATACCAGGTATGCAAATGATGTAAATAGAGATACATGTGACTTTATATTGTAAAAAAGGTTTTCTTCATGTAAATGTTATTGTCTAATTCAAATTAATTTAATTTAGGAGTATAAATTTTGCTAATGTGTGCACCAGTTGCATGCCAGGTACCAGTGGTGGCCAGACGATTGTATTAGCTTCCTCATGACTGAAGCTACAGACAGGTGTGAGCTGTCTTGTGTGTGCTGGTAAACAAAGACAGACCCTCTGGACAAAAAAATCCAATGTTCTTAGCTGCTGAGCCATCTATTCAGCCCTATATACATATCATTAATAGCAGTAAGATGTAAATGGCTGTTTTTCAGTTCATCTTTACCTCAGCCCTGATGATCCAGAAGAAATAAAAATGGATAACATCAAGAATTAACTTAACTTGGTGTTTTGAAAATTTTCTGAGCCAAAATCTTCAAAAAATGAGGGAAGAATGCAAAGAATATTCAGGAGAGAATATGACAATATAAGTCCTAAAGTGTCTGACCATTTGACAAAAGCCACAAGACTGAGTTTATCTCAAACATGATAAATAGTCAGCAATTGGAGCCCACAAGGACATAGATCAGGTGTTCCCCAGTGTATGGCTCCTTAATGGAGAAAAATGATTTGTAGGCATGAAGGTAGACTTGTCTAAAAGGGAGTGTATTCTACTTCTCTACTGCCTGTGAATAGACTAGAAAATGTAAAGAAAAACATTGTTTTAGTGCATGATTGGGAAAAAGCAGACAGCAAACATGGACCAAAGGATTCCTTAGAGAAAAAATCTTGGTGATTTTAGGTGGGAAGCTGGAGCTACACATTATGTCCCAGCATAGCTTCGATCTCTGGCCTGTAGCTGTAAACTTGCCTGCTAGCAACAGCTTTTTTTTAACACCAATTTCTTTTGGTTCTGGTAGAGCCTTTGCTTTCCCAAGACTGGTGGTTCTAGGCTGATACAAATTTTACATGAGCCTTCAAAACCTAACCATTTAAAAGTGCCAGATTCCTTTAATGCCTTGTCAGTTTTTGAGGCACATGCTCAGAAAATTTACTTCCCTCTTGAATCCATTGAATATATTAGATAATGAAAAGTGTTAAAGCAATAAATCAAAGCTAACACACACCATTGTAGTCTGGTGTCACCTCTTTAGTATAAATGGGATAATCCCCTGAGGGCTCAGTGGCAGCAGGAAGTTATGGATGTCTTCATTTTGTTTTACACAGCAGTAACCAAGAAGTCACATGGCATTGGCATTTATCGTGAAACCATTAGCAAAGATGGTTAATTCACATGGCTGTTTTCATTGTGATGAGGTCACCAGCCAAGTGGGAGCAAAATACTTGGTTCCTTTTTGCTCAGCTCCATGGAAAGGTGAGCCCATCCCCCATCATGCAAAATCTCTGCAGGATTCAAACATCACAAGTTAAATGTCCATTATTGCTCCATAATCACAATCCTTTTGAGCAATTCTTAGCTTTCTGCTTTCCATATAACTTTAGAAACAGCTTTTTCTTTAATGAATAGTTGGAAGTTTTCTTTGGTTATGTGGAATTTATGCTACAAATTGAACACATCCAATATCTTAATATTGAGTCATCATGTATACAAGGATCATCAATGACTTACCATTCATTTAGTTCTTTTATTGTTTTGTGAATATGTGAAAGACTTTTAGTTCATTGCATGAAATGTACTTTGGGGCTGGACAGCATATACTCCTCTTGGGGGTGATCTGTGTTCACATCCCAAACATCCATGTTGGGAGGCTCATATGTACCTGCTACTCCAGATCTAGGATATGTGACAAACTTCTTTTCTCTTGTGTCACCTGAATATACATAAAAGACATTCTCACACACAAACATACATACAACGGAGTTCAACTATTTTCAAAAGTGCATATGACTCACAACGCAACTGGAGCAAAACAAGTTGCTTTAAGTGTATATTAAAAAGCATACAAAATTTCTTTTAAAATCTGTTATGTTGCTTTTGGTTTTAAAAGATTTGCATGATAGAGAATTTCATCCAGAAATTAATCATAAGAAACATAAAATAGTGTCTAAGTGATCACAAAAAAGATATAATTTCCTTTATAGTAAGAGAATGAAATAGATTTTATTAGTTAAAACTATTATCTGCAATGTTAAAACATCAGAATTATCAAGTAAGTGTCAAATTTTGAAAGAAGAGCCTCACAAACACTATTTCTATAACTGGCAAGCAGAGTCCTAGAGTGCACAAGTGGGAGTGCTGGCCTGTGGTTTGTTTTTATTGTTGTTTTACTAAAATTCTGTACTTCTTTGTTTAAAGGACCATGATTTATTTGTAGGTTTGTATCTTTTATCAGTGGTGCCCTCTCTTTCAAATGTATTTAGCTTGGTGAATATACTTAAATAAAACAAATTGTGTTTGTTAGTTGAAGAGGCCATTTTGCTTTCAATTGTAGTTTGCAACATGAATATTGTTGAGTAAGTATACTCAGAAAGAACACATTGCCTTTTCTAGGAAAATAGGCCACTTATTTTTCAACTCTTGTTAGCAAAGTGATTAGAATAATGAGTTGCTTAGAATAAATGTACTCTATTGGCTGGGAAAAGACTCCACTTCACTTTCAACTGTATTTAGCAATGTGTAGAATAGTGAATACTGTAAAAATAAACACATTGTCTTTGTTAAGAGAATGGGCCACTTCTCTTTCAACTGTATTTAGCAATGTGACTAGAAGAGTAAGTATGCTCAGACAAAACACAGTCTTTGCAAGAAAAACAAGCAACTTCTCTTTAAATTATACTTAGCAATGTTAATAGTGAGTATGCACAAAAGGAACACATTGTCCTTGCTAAGAGGACATTTATCTCTTTCAACTGGATTTAGCAATATAAATAGAATAGTGTGTATCCTTCAAAGAAACACATTATGTTTGCTAGGAAAAGAGGCCACGTCTCTTTCAATTCTATTCAGCAATATGAATAGAGTAGAGAGTAGACTTAGAAAAAATTCATTGTCAGTGCTAATAAAACAGGGAATTTCTTTTTCAACTGTAGTTACCAAAGTGAATAGAATAGTGAATTCATTTACAATAAACACATTGTCTTTGCTGAGAAAAGAGGGCACTTCTCTTAAACTGTACTTAGCAATGTGAATAGAACAGTGAATACATATAGAAGAAAGTATTATATTTTTTAGGAAAAGAGACCACTTCTCTTTCAAATGTATTCAGCAATGTGAATAGAATAGTGAGTACTCTTAGATGAAATGCATTGACTTTGCTAGGAAAAGGAGACATTTCTCTTTCAAGTATAGTTACCAATGTGAATAGAATAGAATACACTTAACAGAAATGCATTGTCTTTGCTAGGAAAAGAGGCCACTTCCTTTTCAACTGTATTTAGCAATATGAATAGAATACTGAGTAAGTTTAGAAGAACCAAATTATCTTTGCTATGAAATGTGGCCACTTCTCTTTCAACTGTAGCAATAGTGAGTAGAATAGTGAATACTTTTAGAATAAATGCATTGTCTTTGCTAGGAAAAGAAGTCAGTCCTCATTCTTCTTCAACTGTGCTTAGCAATGTGAAAAGAATAGTGAGTATTCTTAGAAGATACATTGACTTTGCAAGTAAAAGGGTCCATTTCTTTTTCAACTGTAGCTGGCAAAGTGAATATAATAGTGTGTATACTAAGAATAAATACATTGTCTTTTCTAGGAAAGGGGGCCAATTCTCTTTCAACTGTATTCAGCAGTGAGAATGGAATTGTGACTAGGCTTAGGAAAAAAACATTGTCAATGTTTGTAAAAGAGGACATTTCTCTTTCAACTGTATTTAGCAATGTGAATAGAATAGTGTGCAAGCTTGGAAGAAACATTGTCTTTGCTAGGTAAAGAGGCCCCTTCTATTTAACTATATTAAGCAATGTGAATAGAACAGTGAGTGGACTTAGACTAAAGCATTGTCTTTTCTAAGAAAAGACGCTGCTTCTTTTTCAACTGTATTTATCCAGGTAAATATAATAGTGAGTACAGTTAGAAGAAACACACTGTCTTTGCTAAGAAAAGGAGATATTTCTCTTTCAAATGGACTTAGCAATGTGAATAGGATAGTGAATACTCTTAGAAGAAACACATTGTCTTTGCTAGGAAATGGAGGACATTTCCCATTCAACTGTAGTTAGCAATGTGTAGAGTAGTGAGTGCTCTTAAAGAAACACATTGACTTAGTAGGAAAAGAGGCCACTTCTCTTTCAACTGCATTTAGCAATGTGATTATAATAGTGAGTACACTTAAAGAAACGCATTGTCTTTGCTAGGAAGGGTGGCTACTTCTCTTTTATCTGTTTTTATCAATGTAAATAGAATAATGAGTATGCTTAGAAAAAATGCATTGTCTTTGTGAGTAAAAGAGGCTACTTCTCTTTTATTTGTATTCAGCAATGTGAATAGAATAGTGAGTATGCTCAGAAGAAATGCATTGTCTTTGCTAGAAAAAGAGGCAACTTTTCTTTCAATCAGACTTAGCAATGTTAATATAATAGTGAGTAAGCTCCGATGAAACACATCGTTTTTGCTAGGGAAAAGAGTCTATTTCTCTTTCAACTGTGGCTGGCAAAGTGAATATAATAATGAGTATCTAAGAATATTGTCTTTGCTAGGAAAAGGGGCCACTTACCTTTCAATTGTATTGAGCAATGTGAATAGAATGGTGAGTATGTTCAGAAGAAATGTATTTTCTTTTCTAGAAAAATGGGCCACTTCTCCTTTATTTGTATTCAGTAATGTGAATAGAGTAGTGAGTGTGCTTAGAAGAAATGCATTGTCTTTGCTAGTAAAATAGGTCATTTCCTTTCAACTGTATTTAGAAATGTGAATAGAATAGAGAGTATGCTCACAAGAAATGCATTGTCTTTGCTAGGAAAAGAGGCAACTTCTCTTTCAATTGTATTCAGCAATGTGAATAGAGTAATATATATTATAGGAAGAAATGCATTGTCAATGCTAGCAAAAGAGGCCATTTCTTTTTCAATTGTAGTTAGCAAAGTGAATATAATATGCTAAGAAGAAACATCTTGATTTGCTAGGAAAAAGGAGTAGTTTCTCTTTCAACTTTATTTATCAATGTGACTAGAATATTGAGTATGCTTTGAGGAAACACATTTTCTTTTCTAGGTAAAGGCTACTCATATTTGTATTGTCTCTGTTAGGCAGAGACCATTTCTCTTTCAGGTATATTTAGGAATATGAATACAATAGTGAGTATGTTTAGAAGAAACACATTGTCTTTGCTAGTAAAAGAGGCCATTTCTATTTTAATTGTATTTAGCAATGTGAATACAATTGTGATTATTACACTTAGAAGAAACACATTGTCTTTGTTAGTAAAAGAGGCAACTTCTCTTTCAACTGCATTTAGCAATGTGAATAGAATAGTGAGGATGCTTACAAGAAATGCATGATCTTTGCTAGGAAAAGAGGCCACTGCTTTTTCAACTCTATTCATCAATCTGAATAGAATTTGAGTAGGCTTAGAAGAAATTTATTGTGAATGAATAGAATAAATAAATAAAATGAATAAATGATTGAATAGTGAATATGCTTAGAAAAAAATACATTGTCTTTGCTAGGGAAATAGCCCTGATCTCTTTCAACTGTGTTTAGCAATGTGACATTTTGGATTAGTCCATTCTTTGCTAGAGAGACTACCTTGTATTGTAAATTTGTTATTACACCTGATAGGTTAGCTAGCCACACACCTCCAAACATGGCATTCAGAAATGTCTGGTGAGTGGTGGTGCAGATAGAGGAACTTCTGTAAATGCCTCCTGTCTGGTGATGGTAGGCTGCAGTTGCAGCTCCAGGTGCCCCAGTTCCTATCATCTGCTGTGTTTTGACTTAACAGGTATTTGAAGTATCATTTAAATTTTTCTTCTGAACATTTTGACCTGTACATGTTTCCTTTTTGCCATATAGAACCAAAGAGGATTTTTATTTATTTTTTTGAAAGATTTATTTATTTAATGTATGTGAGTGCTCTATCGGCATGTACACATTTGTGTCAGAAGAGGGCATGAAATCCCTATATAGATGGTTGTGAGCCACCATGTGGTTGCTGGCAATTAAACTTAGGACCTCTGGGAGAGCAGCCAGTGCTCTTAACTACTGAGCTATCTCTCCAGGCCCTGGGGACTCTTCTTTAAGGAAATAAAAGTTGTAGGTAATTAAATGGAAGGGCTAGAAATCCCCATATTCCTGATGCATCTGTCTTTGAAGGTTTCTTTTATAGTAGTATCTTCTTTGTATAAGGAAAATAGAATAAGATTCTAATAGTTTTATGCACATACAAATTGGTAATTTACTGATGTGTCTGTACAGGATTTTGTACATAACTCCCATAGTCCAACCTACATCTTTTATTGGTACTTTGTATAACATACTGAATCTATATATTAGATTACTGGTGAGTTTCTTTTGATACAGTTGAGTATACTTTGGTGGCAAACTTGAGAGAACTGTGGTCATTTTAATTGACAACTTTAAAACTGACTTAGAGCTTGAGAGTCGGTTCTTTGTACCTTCTTGATCTCAGAGTTAGAAGTGCTGTGGATTAGGAAAAAAACCATATTCAACAGTGGCATGCTTTAGAAGACTTTCATGATTTTTTACATCCTCTCAATCTTAGGGATTGACTCTAGGCACTCAATTTACCATGAGCTACACTCACAGCACTGTTTTTCATTTTTAATTGTTATTGTATGTATCTATGGGCTATATTGTGACATTTCATTGCATATCTCCAGTGTATGATGACTAGCTTAGGATAATTGCCACATTCAAAATCTCTTGACGAGCAATTTTGAAATAATTCATATTAGTTATTTTGTACAAGTTTTATGTATCTATAACTACAGTAATTACCTTATATTTATTGGCATCTTGTCTCTGTTTAATTGTAAGCTTAAAAACATTATGAACAAGAATAAATGCAATATGGCTTTCTCTCATAATTACTACTTACCATCTTTTAAATGTTTATACTAGATGTAAATTTCAAATCTGCTGTGGGACGGTCTGTATGTCAAATTGCTCTGATTGGTCAATAAATAAAACACTGATTGGCCAGTGGCCAGGCAGGAAGTAGGTGGGACAAGGAGAGAGGAGAATT